TTTTTAGAAGAATTAGTGGGGATTGAACCCAGGCCCTTGTGCATTCTAAGAATATGCTCTTTCACTTGAACTATGCCCTACCCCCTAAATTATTTTTAATAAAGTATTTTTCTTTGTTTTGTTATTTTCTCTTATGTACAGATTCACAAAGCAGGGTCATCAGAAGCCTCTCAATTCCAAAGATGATAATAATGAAAAATACTTCCCAGTGACAGTGAATCCTTGGCGTATGAGGAAAGATTGTAACTTCCTGAATGAATTAATAAGGTATTGTTACATTAACATACATGTAACTGTGGCTCTCTTACCTTTTTTTTTTACTTTATAATGAAGATATTCCCCACCCTTCAAGATTGCTTTGTTGGATATAGGGAATATCTAAATCCTTCTCTGCAGATTTTTTAAATAAGTAAGAGAGAAGTTAATTTATCAGAAGTGTGAATGGTGTAATCTGCTCTGTCTAGTATGGTAGCCACCAGCCATATGTGGCTATTGTGAGTTGAGATGTTCTATAAGTGGAAAATACATACTAGATTTTCAAGACTTAGTACAACAAAAATAATGTAAAATATTTATTAATAAATTTTAAAAATGTTAATCACATTTTTGAAATGATAGTATATTGGATATTTTGTGATAAATCTAATTATTACTGAAATTAATTTCACTTGTTCCTTTTTATTTTCTAAATGGGATTTCTGGAAAATTGTGACTTGCATTGTGTTTCTGTTGGACAGTGCTGGCTTCTAACTTATTTCAAATAATATGAAAAGAAAACTTGGATTAAAATTTTGTAATCGAGTAGTTGATTCACATCATGTTAGTTTCAGGTGTACAACACACAGGCTCAAAATTTTTATAGATTATATTCCATTTAAAGTCACCATAAAATAATGACTATATTTCCTTGTGCTGTATGATACATCCCTGTAACCTATCTATTTTATACTTAGTGCTTTGTACCTCTCAATCCCCTACCCCCATCCTGCCTCCCCTCTCCTCCTTCTCCCAGCTGGCAACCACCAGTCTGTTCTGTGCACCTGTGAGTCTATTTCTGTTTTATTATAGTCATTAATTTGTTTTATTTTTTTAGATATACATATAAGTTAATACATAGAGTATTTGTTTTTCTTTCTCTGACTTACTTCACTTAGCATAATACCTTGTAGGTCCACCAATGTTATTGCAAATGGCATTATTTTATTTTTTATGGCTAAGCAGTATTCCATTTTATGTGTGTGCATGTGTGTATATGTATGTGTGTGTATATATATAAAAAATATACCACACCTTCTTTATCCAGTCATCTGTCAGTGAACATTTGGGTTGTTTCCATTTCTTGGCTATAGTAAATAGTGCTTCTGTGAATATTGGGGTGCATGTGTCTTTTTGAATTATATTTTTCTCCAGACATATGCCCATGAATGGGATTGCTGGATCAGACGGAAGTCTAATTTTAGTTTTTTAAGGAACCTCTATACTGTCCTCCATAGTTGCACCAATTTACATTCCCACCAACCGTGTAGGAGGGTTCCTTTTTCTCTGAAAAGATCAAATAGTCTCTACCTTCATATACTTTCCTTACAGTTTAGGACAGTACTTGGCAAAAGCCAGATAGAATTTAATAGCAGTAAATACAGTATTTTTTAAATGGCCATGCAATATGGACAGATAAGTTACTGATGAGTTTGTTCCCTATTTTTGTAGATGTAGAAGTTTTTATAACTTCACAGACATTTCAGTCTTGCAGAGAGAAAAATTTCTTTGCATTTTACTGAACTTGTCTGGTTAGTGCTATCGAATTTGTTCCAGGCCTGCAGAGGTGAATACACATCCAAACTTGAACCATTTGAATGTCTGCAAGAATTTAAAAGTCTAGAATGTCAGATCTGGACTATAAGTCTGGTAAATGACATCAGTGAATGGGACTCATGAAAGCTCCATTTGAGTGCAAAACCTTTCATAAGCCAAAAAGGCTTTGAAATTGTGGCAGAGCCAGAGACTTTTGTGCACCACAAATGGCCACAAACCCATGGGGACAACCACAGGCCTTCTGGAGTGCCAAGGGAAATCCATATGAGGAGTCCAGCACCCACAGTAATCCAACAAGTCCCTGTCTGCCAGAGCACCTTCACTGCTACTGTGCTGTTTTGAGCAAATGTCTTTTCCTCAGGTTCAAATTGGGTTGTTGTTATATTTTTGCATAGAAAAAAATGAAACAACTTCTTGTTCCCTTGGTGAAAGTAAAAACCTAACATTTTCTGATTTCTTTTGACATAGAAAAACATGAGCCTATGAATCTAACCTCATCTGTGATGGTCTGCAGCTGAAAGCAATCAGATCAGGGTCAGTCCCTTTGCAGCCATTGGCTGGGAGCCTGCATTTTACCCGGAATGCTGGAATGGCATGTGAAACATGTCACCCCAGCCACGCGTTCGCTGTGGGCTGGGAGGCGAGTCAGTCAGAATCTGCATTATGGAATGTATGTTCCAGATTCAAAGCTAGGAGATCTTTTTTAATAGCCAGAGAATGTAGCCATAAATACGTCTATTAATGTGTTTATGCAAGAACATTTTTAAAGATTTTTTATTATAAACATTTACCCCCCAAAATTTAAATGTAAGAATAGTGGAATTAAAAGTCATAAATAATCTTAAAATCCTTCTAAACATTTTTTTCTCAAATGTAGGCATTTTCCCTTCCAAAAAGGAAAATTATTATTTCACATTTTTTGCTTTTTCCTTTTATTATATATTCCATATCAATAAATATAATTCTTTCAAATCTTTTTTAATGGCTATTTAACACTATATTGAACAGATATGTAAATAGTCCTAGGTTTGAGAAATTTAAAAATCTGTCATTACAATACCACTTCAAAGAATATTTTAGTGTTTTTATTTTTAGTCACTAATTTGGACTAAAAATTAACAAGTGTGCATTTCTTCATCTAAAACATTGGTAATTTTATGAATGAACTGTAAGGATTTTAAATAAC